AGAATTTTAACGCACATTTCATTTAAAAAAAAGAAATAGAATTCTTACGTACGTTATAGGTCGTTTAAAAGAAACGATTTTAAAAAAAGAATAATAAATCTGTTTCATCATCACTACGAACTGCACGCGATTTATTCGCGCGAGCGCGCGCACATGTGCAGAGGGGGATAGAGGGGAAGGAAGAGCTGCACGACAATTTTCTAACCTTCATGTTTAATTGTACGTGAATCCAGGGGGAAGGAAGAGGGAGGGGAGAGGTTTATGAAAGCGACAACGTCGTGATGAAGCGGCGAATGTGAAACCCGAGACCAATAAATCGACTAAATTTCCAACGTTCTCATGCGTTGCAAAAATCAGAGTAGCGAGATTCCCGTGATGATTTTTTTTACGGCTCCATAAAAGTCGTATAACGTTCCTTCTGCTTGCAAAAATCCAAAAAAATAGTTCTCGAGGATAAGGTAAATCGCAGCTAGTCACCGTGACGCCGAAAAAGTCCACGAATCAGCTGACGAACGCTGACTTGTCAAACGCGGCGTCGATTAAATAACTTTTGATTTTTTTGAGGGAATCTTCCGGCTGATCTTCCTGGAAGTTCGGACAGACACAAAACTGCAATTTTCTTTTTGGTTTACCTCTGCCATTTAGCGCGCGAGCCGGCGATGTATCTCAATGGAATCAGCCGCGAAGTGTCGTTCGTTGTGGGTCGACGGAACGGCGACCCTCGCGCGCGTTTTTCTCGGAGACCAGGCGATCGCGGTCACATTGTGAACCACACGGAGTTCGCAGATCCAGACACTCGTAGCAAGACATTCCTTTCGCACGCGATGCTATTGACAGACTCGAAAATCGCCGTAACCAGAACGGTGAGCGAAACAAGACCGAATGAAATTTGACGGAATCATTGTCGCGCAACGGCGCGCACCGAAATACCGGAGCATCAGGATGACAGTAGAAATGCTCACATGTTTCAGGTAGTTCAAGGTGGAATTTGTCAAGTGGCGCCTCCATAGGGATAAAACGTGTGCACGTAACCGCATATCCACGAATATTTCCGACGGTTGTTATGTCGTACAATTTACATGATTTTTCTATTTCAATTATTCCTAAATTGCTAAAATATTTTTAAATCTTAATCTAAGTGGCCTTAAAGATGATTTCAAGATTTTAGAAAGACGTCTGAAGTTACTTTTTTGTAAGATATTTTTTGAAGTTTGTATGATGAATTTTTTCCTCAAAGTTTTTTAATTATGAAAATAATTTTACCTGCAGCAGATACTAAAGGAAATTATATTATCAATAGTGCTTATAGATTGAAAGTGCTAACAAGCGTCAATAGGTGCGCAAGAATCGACGTAAATAAAAGAAATGCCGAAAAAACAATACACGCGACTGGAGTAAGATTAACACGATAAATAGTGTCATTAATTGCAATTTTTATACAATTCTGTTGAGTGGATGTGATGATGATGCCCGGAAAAACTCCGGTACAAGGTGAAGATCTATAAGTTTCTATTGTGTTTATACAATCATTAATCAGTACTCAAGTTTTTAATAATTGACATAATTCTTTTTCTGTTTTTATAGAGAATCCTTTGGGCCTGTCTTGGCATGACAGCGCCTGGATTCCCGTTCTTAATCCAAGCAACATCATGGATTACTTCTCAGAAAGAAGTAATCCATTTTACGACAGGACTTGTAACAATGAGATAGTCAAGATGCAGCGTTTGAGCCCTGATCAACTGAAGTAAATCTCAATCGATCCCAACATTAAATATATAAATATTATCATTATAAGCATATTCATGAATGCTCGTTATTCCCTAGCAATATGACTGGCTTGGAGTATATTCTTTTGCATGTGCAAGAGCCAATCCTGTATGTGATTAGGAAACAACTCAGGCATTCGCCAACTCAAGCTTCAGCGGTTGCCGATTATTATATTATAGCTGGCGTTGTATACCAAGCTCCAGATTTAGGGTCCGTCGTGAGTTCTAGATTGGTGAGCAAGAAAAAATATACATTTAAATTTTTATCGAGATTTGGTTGTTATCAGAATATTTTCTGTATCCTCTTTAACACATTATGCATTTTATATATTACATTTTTAGTTATTGTTATACTTAAAAAATATACCTTCTGTAGCTGTCCACAGTTCACCACCTACAATCTGCCTTCGATGAGGCCAGCAGCTGTTCTCGATATCACCCCAGTAAAGGCTATTCTTGGGATTTCAAAAATGGTAAGGCTTTGGCTGCGAAGAAGGAAACGCCGGTGCGCGAGGAACCTAGCTCGTTGTTTCAACGCCAGAGAGTGGATATGTTACTTGCAGAGCTTACTCGTAAATTTCCTTTACCAGTGCCAAAGCCAGTCCATCAAGCAACAGAACCTTGTACGTGTAGCATAACTTATATGCTATTTTATTTTTTATTTCTCGATTCTAACACTATTTTGGTGTTATTAACAATTTTTTTTATTTCAGCCGTAGAAATTAAGCAAGAAGTGAAAACTGAGAAAAAAGATATGAAACCACCACCAGAAAGGAAACCTAGACTTAATTAATAATAAAGATAGACTTAAAATATATTTATGTATAAAATTTTTCTAACTTATAAATAGTAGGGAAATAAAATAATAGAGAAAATGTGGCACACATTCATTAAAAGAATTAAATAAACAAATTAATTAATGAAGAAAATGATAAAAATCAAATATTTTATCAGTATAAAGTTTTCAAATCTTGTCTGCCACACAAGAAATTATTAATTTAAAAAATACAAATGATCACTAATGACCGCTTAGTATTTCTGGTATTAATGGAATATATTTTCAGTAACATATTTATGTGTATTTTTAAAGTTTACAACGTTGTATATATTATATAATGTATGCGTTTAAGTTATAATAATTATTTTTAAGAAAAAGCAATTGTAAATTTGTAAGTTTAAATTGTGATTTTCTTAATACAAATTTTTAACTCTACATTGTATAAAAGTATTTATCTCTCTTCATTTTTAATATTTAATTTGGCTTTTTATAGTATGAAAAATAAATAAAACATACCTGACGATTACTCACTCTGGTATGATTCGTGTGCAGCAATTGAATAAGTGCAAATTAAATAAAAAATAGACTTTAAATTGTATATATTCGATCCAATTTCAGACATGTTTTTTTTATTAATCGTATGGTCTATTGTTTATCTTTTAATTTTACCGATGACGAATATAGAAACGTCGGTTATCGGAGAATATATTTTTTTACAGTGCAGTGCTTACAATTTTTGCTGCCAAATGTATTTTTACGCCAAACAAGTGCTTAATTTTTTTAGACGGAGAAATGGAAATAAAGCAATATTGCAGCTTTTTATAGAAAAGCAGATTGGAATGAAGGTAAAAAAATACATTGATGTAAATGTTTGATTGTAAATGGATTACAATACATCGAGTATATACAAGAATACAAACATATACAGTATTTGCAGGAGATATTTAGAAGCGACGCATAACCGCTGCAATTGCTATTATGCGTGCAACTGCAACTGCTATTTGTCTGCTGCACCTGCTAAAGATTCATTAGCCATAATTTAGTTGAAATTCACTATCACTTTGAAACTACATCGCTGTATAACTTTAGATACGTTCGCTTTGAACGCTCACGCGCTGTAAGCTTCATTCTATCTTCATCTCATTATATACGGAAATAAGATAGAATGAAGCTTACAGCGTGAAAACGCTCAAAGCGAATGTAGCCTTTGTGTCGTGTATTTCTGCGATGCTTAGCTATTATAGTTGGACAATGCTCAACTTTGAATGTGATTTTGTTGTATGTGGTCATTTTGACGAGAATCAATGGAATGAGGATAAAACGCCGGTTTTCCTTTACGCTACATGCACATGAAATTGCACATGAAATTGCAAATGTCGATCAAAAACCGTCGATCGCGCCATTCAATTTACACGCCAACTTGCTCGCACCTTCAGCCGTGTCCGCGGCGGGTTAATCCTGAGAAAAATGATTCTTTTAGATCACAAGAATCGGTTTGTGCGCCGCAACGGATCATTTGCGATATGCCAACGAAAATGATATGCGATGCTGGTACATGCGGCGGTTGTCGATATCTGGAGCGGGACGAGCAGGATGATCGGACGGCGAACCTCGCAGAGTTCCTGGCGAACTGTCAACACGCGAAATGCAAGGTGGTTCGTCTGGTCCGTCAGCAAATAAGTAAACTGCAGAATATGCAGGTACGGGTCCCCGCATTTCCCGTAATTGGACCGATCGATCCTCTCGACACCTCCTTCCCCACGTCGCTAAAATCGCCCTCCCGGATCGTTTCGAGAACTCTCGCCCTCTCCGTTTTAAGATACATTCCCGGCACACACGTTTACTGACGCGCGATGTTGACTTTGCTCTTGCACGCGATAATTCAGAGCGTTTGTGCAATTTGCGACGCGACATTTGGAAAGGTGGAAGCGCATCGAAGGAAATTAAACGTATACATTTGCCGAGAAATTAAATATACAGAAAATTAAATATACCACACACATGTGTCTATAAAGATATTATTCTCGATGGCAAAAAAGAGTTTTTTATCTAAAAACGAAAAGGAGGAAGAGACAGGAAAAGAACATGCTTTTTAAATTATTCAAATTTGCGCACTGCAAAAGTTGTATAAGAAGCCTTTATTAATTTCTTATCAGCTATCATTTCCCCGCGAGAGGTAGACGGATTAAAAGAAATTGAGACGGAAATTGAGACGGACAGATTAATCTCGCAAATTGTTCGGTTCCATTCTTTTTCTTCCTGCTTTTGAGAGACCCGTCATCCTTTTTTGCTCTTTTTCCACTGACGATTGTATCTCGGAGTTTTAATTTACTGCACAAATTTACTTCACATTTCCGTTTTCATCTAAAAACATTAATTTCACTAACAAGGGAGCCATCGGAACTGTCCGATTTTGATAAACTTCGGATTTGTTGTAAAGCATAAAATCCAAAAATATTAGACCCATATTTTTTTTATGCGCGCATCTAAAGGTTTAGAGGGTGAAACAATCTCTCGAGAATAACGGATTTTTTTTCATTTTCAGCAAATATCTTTAAAACATGAGATATATGAAAAAATATTTTATATAAAAGTTTTATGATATTTTATATTCTTTATAACAGTGTATTTGCATTTTTTGAAAATGTTAAGTTTTTTCGTTTATCGTCATCCACAGGGAAGTGTTTCGATTATTGAAGATAAGCGTATAAACTTAAAAAGAACATGGATTTAATATTATTGTCTGGCAAATTTAAACTTTTTCTAGACCACGAACTGGACCAAATGATTCTTATACAGATTTTTTTGTCACCGAAAATGAATCCGTAAATGAAATTGCTGAATGAGGTTACGTGTTTGGGAAAAATGAACTTAATACGCTGAAAATGACATGTTTGAGCTAAAATATCTCAAAAACGTGACATGATGGGAAAATTTCACTTATGTTCCTCTTTCCAATATAAATTAACTTTGTCTTTTAATCTCAGTTTAATTTACTTTATATCTTTTTCTAGTTCCAAGAATTAGAAAAAGATAAAGAGTAAATTAAATTGAGATTACAGTTAATCTACAATGAAATGGACATTGATCTCGAAATACAATAAGTGTAGTAAACCTTAAACTTTAAGAAATTAACCAATCATAGTCGAGTATTCTTCTCACAATCTTCGATTGTGCCTAATCAATTTCTTAAGATTTAAAGTTTACTACACTTATTGTGTTTCGGGATTTACGAATTTATTTTCAGCGACAAAATATCTGTAAAAATTACTTTGTTTAATATGTGGTCTAAAGTTCATATTGTACAGCTTTATATAATGTCTTACACAACATATCCAAAGATCAAAATTGGCAAGGGACAATTCCCTAAAGATCCCGTGAAATCTCGTGTCTATACGGGAAACTAAAAAAAAATATCTTCTAGCAATCAGCAGTTAGTAGTAGTTTTGAACACAGAGAAAAAAATTTATTAAATTTTAATAAATATTTCTTTGAAAATAGTCCTGCTGAATATTTACTTACTGTAAGTAAATATTTAAATAAATGAAAAAAATGATATCAAATTAATGCTTCTTGTATCTAATACGTGTTTACATTTAGTAAATATTCCGCTATGACTATTCAAAGAAATATTAAAATTCAGTAAATTTTTTTCTCAGTGTACAGGGAAAATCTTTTTGTCGTAGCACGAGCGTTTACTGACTGCGAGCGACGAAGCGCGCGAGAAGGTGCATAATGAAATGCCCACTGAAATGCACGAAGCGCTCAACAATGAAGTCCACGAAGTGTACGGTGAAGTACACGAGCCATACGATGATCTGCACGAGGTGGAGAGCAAAGTAGAGCAGGCGTTCAACGAATCGCGCGGCAATGTGTACGAGGCGCAGAAAGCTGCTGCAGTTGCAAAACGAATTGTCGAAGGGACGAGCGCAGTAAGGGTTGAAAAAAAAGCAGATTTTGCTATCTTTGATCATTCAGTTTCTCCATTAATCGGTTATCAACAAAGTAAAGTTAGTCAGATTTATTAATAAAGTAAAAAATATACCTTTTCACCCTCTATGCATTGACCGAACACGAAAAGAACGATTTTGCTGAAATATCTAAAAATTTAACTAGATACAATTAACGTTCAATTTTAATTAATACGTCATGCTGTACGGACGGAATACAGACATTGTTGCAATCAATATATCTTGACGTTTGTAATATTTTTTTTTTTTGTTAATTAATACGGTTTCAAAGTTCTTGTCGCTCTTTTCCATTGAAATAAATATCAACTTAACATCACTTTAGTTTTGTCAATCTGTGAGTGACTTGCTCTCAATGGATGGGCGACTTCGTCTATTTTAATATCGCTGAGGAGAACTCAGCAAAGAGAGTTGAAACGTTCAAATATAATAAAGGAGACATTATACAATCGTCTGAGTAATTATCTTCAATCGTAATAAATTTTGCGTTCACATATTTGCGCTGATTCTCATTAGTCTGTTTTAAATGCTTTGTTTATTATATTTTAACTTAGAGATATTATACAGATCTGGAAATAATTTTGGTGGACCATCAAAATATTTATGTCGAAAACTTAAGCATGACGAACAATGTAGCAAAAAGTTTTGATGTTCTACCTAGAACGTCCTGCATATTAATTACTCTGATAGTTTAACAAAATTATTTTCAAATCAGTGTCAAGCTAAATTTTTAAATATCAGCAAAAATCATTTCTCTCTGTGAAGAGAAGATGCGAGTCGAACGTGCGATTGTAATTTACTTTTAAGCTTTCCGATGTAATCCGAGTTGTTTGTCTCCAAAGGATAACCCGTTACAAAAATTATTATTTTCACCTTTTGGATGAAATTAATAGCTCGACTTATGTTCCCTGGATGTTCTCTGATAACCGCGCATGTCTAGAACGCAGCGACCGCATCCTTGCGTCGCACGGCGTCTCCTGGGAGAGCGGTGGACCGCAAGTGGATGCTGCGGATCCTGGATCGCGTTCGTCATCGAGCGCATCTGATACTGGCGGCCGCTGCGGTCGGCGTGATAGTCTGGACCGCTCTGGTGTACGGTGTCTTCCTGGGCGCGACGGCCTGCGGAAGCGGACGCACCTGTTTCCGGTCGTCTCTTAAATATACGCACGCTAAACGCACATTGTTTTAGCTGGTGCCATCCATTGACACCTCGTAAACGAGACCTCGTAAACGGTGATTAAAGTTAACCGAGATTCAACCTATTTCACTTCAGCGTCTGCGAGAAGAGATGGTTGATTGCCAGCGCTAGGTTTAATGAAGATTTCTAAGAATCGATTTGTAGACGCGTCCTTTTTCTTTTGCGAAATTGCACGGAGAATGTTTACCTCGTAAATCTATCCATCGAGGTATTTTTAGCGAATCCAGATTTTTGTCATTTTTAAAAGATAAAGTAAAACGCTGTTATTAATATACTTTATACGTACTTATACATACATATATTATGCTTTATTTTTATAAAATTCTGAATATAGAAATATGTCTGTTTTAAATAAATATCATTTTTAAATGAAAATAATATTTTTAATTATATCCTCATGGCCCTTCCTTTTCTTAGAGAAAAGATTAAATTAACTGGGCTATAATATTATATATATATATATGATATATATATATTATTATATTATTATATGAAAATCTTTTTATTCTTTTAAATGATATATTAGAAATAAATTCATATTTTAAGAAACAATATCTTATACTGAAGGTTTTTATATTTCTTCAGAAAAGAGATCGCCTGATCTGTGGTAATTAGGAAGAAAATAGAGTTTAATATCATAACATTATAGTACGAAGTGTTATAATATTATTAATTCAGAAATTCTATTTTCTACTTTCAATTTTATTTTCTAGTTATTATAAAAAGTTATGTGATATAAACAAGAGTAAAGTGTACGAAATATATTTAAAGCGTATCCATTTTCTACCAGAATATATATAATAATTAAATAATACATCTATTATAAATAAAAATTATATTGATGAAGGTAAATCAATTAAGAGAAATAATCTTATTTCTCATCGTAGTAAATTTTAGAGTGCTTAATGATTAATGAGTTCACTAAAAACTTGAAACCGCAATTGCAAACTGAAGCTGAAATATTAATATCTTAAATTAGATTAATCGTCAATTTAGACTAGAAATTAGCCGAAACGTTCGACAAATATATTATTTTTCTAAAGGATTGTTTTAGATCAATCGAGATAAATGCGCAATTATTACAGCACCGATTTCTAAAGGCCTATTTGTAATTTATTAATTGTTTTAATATAAGGAATCTTATCTTATTGTAAGTATAATAATAATAATAAGCATCTTAAAAATCTGTCAAGAACTTATCAAGTTATCACGAAATATATCATCTTAGCTAGGGTTTGATTTGAATTTAGAACTCCCGATTTCTTTGGGATGGACGTCATAGCAATTCGACCATTGAGACACATGAAAAAATTGGTATAATAAATATTATTAAGCACCAAGATCCGCTTGGATTGAAAATAGGATTATTTTTTTAACTGATAATACATCATTTATTTATTAAAAATATATACGCATCATTAACAAAATGAAGAAGATGAATTGAGGTGTCAGGCTAAAATAGCCTAAAAAATACGTAAATAATACGCATACAGAATTATAAAAAATTTCTTCCGGACGTTTAAAAAATGGCTTAGCGAGAAATAAAAAGAGAAATCGGAGAAGAAAGCGGCTAGGATGGAGGTATATCAGTCGTAATAACGACATTAAGAAATAACAAGACACTTTAAGACTTGACACAAAATATATTAAACTTGGAATAGTACACCACGTGTAGCGTTTGGTTAAATTATGCGACTAAATCGTCTCGCGACGACTCCGCGATTCCTCGCCCCGGTCTCGTGCTGGATCGGCGGAGGGATGATCCTAAAGACTCTCGATGATCTCAGGAGAGATCGTGGCGCGCCACGATATGCTACGATATGCTGATATGTCTGCTACGATATCGTCATCGTGATATGTCACACTGGCGCACGTTAACAAGCGAGACACGAGATTCGTTGACTTTGTCTTTGATATATCCGCGCGTATATCCTGTCGTGGCATCGAGCGACGCGACTGTACGCGATACAGTTTTCAGGGCTTACGAAATCGATCGCCCTTATGATATGCTGTTTGTGTATGTGTTTGTGTGTCGCGTAGAGTATAAGTATGTATGCGTGTAAGTTTATGTCTCCCAATTCACTGCCTCGATCAAGTTTACACGCAGCTCTCCGGGCCCGGTATGGAATTGGCGATGATGATCTCCTTCATCAGGTTGCGATCGGCTTTGAAACTGATGGGTTCCCAGGACTTTGCGGAGAACGGGTTCAGCTGCCAAGTCAAGAGGAGATATCGGGTCTAAATCTAATTAATACTCAGCATCGCGCGCGGAGAAATAGAATTGGGAAATCGAAAATAGTAGCGGCTTCCCCGGATATCCACACCGCGCGGAAGATCGATATTATTCATAACGGTTATACACCGGTCGCGCGCGACAGCTAAACTGAGATTGGTTAGATAGCCGGCTTAATTTATAAACGATCGATAGAAATTCAATCTACGGCAGATTAAATTTCTAATCTTCCGAATCGGAGTTCGAAATCTCGCGCGCTATTGAAACTTCCTATCGCAGTAAAGAATCGAAGGAGAAAAGAATCAAAGGCACATCTCACGTTAATCCACCTATTGAAATAATTAGAAATCATTATACGGGACGATTCGTTGAGGATTAAGACACGTAACGATTCGTTCCTCGCAATTATATCCATCAGAATGCAAGAATTAAAGCAAACCTTTTTCTCGGATATGGCACGGCAGAATCGCAAATTGATACCGGATTAATTTACAAATTGTAACGGTGCATCATTTACATTATTTCGACTGTTCCCTTTCTTCAAAAAGACCACTTTATAATTTCTGACATGACTTACGTTGCATCTGTTCGTTTGCAGTCCCTGCTTGTGAATGTCATAGGGCGCGAACAACGTGTCTGGTCTCACTGGCAAAAACAGCTGCGGTTCGCGTTTGATCTTCTCTTGGTCTGAAACGTTCACATTATTCCACTTTACATTAACAGCTCTCGAACAATTTAAATAAAAATGCTGAAGACAAAGGTCAGACAGATGACATTAAAAAAGAAGGATTTTTGTTAAATGTACATTTAGCCACGGGCAAGAGTGCTCTTTAAATTATCAATTTTATTTTAAATAAATACTTTCTGAAAAAATATCTCTCGTTTCCGTTATTCAAATAAAAGCTCGATATTTGATAGGAATTGATTTGCCAGTTCAAAACAGCACGTAACTTGATCAACTTGCAGAAAATGACAGTTCGACAGAAATCAAAACTCTCCGTTATTGTTCATTCAAGTCTCTATTATTCCATGAATTCTTAAAACGTTCTATTCTTCACGCGACTTTTTTTGTCCAATCTAGATTCAAATATTAGATCGATCCAGTATTGCCGGAATCCAAACATAAATTATATAAATCCAAATAATTAAATAGCAAAAATGTACCCAATTTAGTACAATTGTACTAAATTCAGCAACAATGGGTCGATCGGATGAGATCAGATCGCAAGTAGAAATAACGTCTTTTGCTTGGCGGTACCTTGTGGCGACTGTATGATGTCCGGTTGATTATTGAGCGCATAATCGGTGACCTGCTTCAGCGTGTACTCGACGAAGTACGTGTGGTCGCCGTGGGTCACGTCCAGCATCGAATTGTTCCTCGAGTCCGGCGGTGTGATTATCGGCTGCTTCATATAGGGCTCGATGTGTACGGGTGACGTGGTGCCGCGTCGTCGATACATCATCAGCATCACGGAGATCACGGTCGCACCGAAGGCCATCAGACAGCCGACCAACAGCAGGATCAACGGCAGCATACTGACTCCGGTATCTAGAATGTGAATTTCGTCCTGCGATGGAAATCTATGAGCGGTTATCTCATCACGCGTGATAAAAATATCGTCCCCGTAGTAGTTATATATGTACACAAAATCAATCGTAATTAATCTCAGCACGATGAAATAAATATTATTAAAAAATATATTTTATCGTGCTGTGTGTAATTGGAAAAATTGTAATTAGTTGTGTTAATCATGTGACGCGTATGTGCTCGGCGTTAAATTTGCTGTCATCTTGAGTGATATATAACTCTATTCCTTCTTTCCCAGAAAATTATAATACGTGTAAGATATTTCAGTTAGAAATAAATTGGTATTTTTCGTTCGTAGAATGAAGATATATATAGCAGTAGTTTTGTTTATGGTAAATCATATATATTGCAAATTTCTAATAAAAGATGCAATAAACGTGATTTATTGTAAACAGAAAGTCTATTTATAGATTCTTTCTGTAAGATAAATAATAAACCATAAATTATAAATATTACGGATTATTTTTAGTTATCTGATTTATTATTTTACGAAATTTTAAATAAATCTGAATTAGTATTTCATTTTATTATTAGTTTTATTATTACAGATTATTATTAGATGTAATTTTCATTCTTTTATAGTTCTGTCAAAATAATTAACGACGCCAATATATCAGAAATAGAAATCGAAATAATTAGTGAATTTCATGATTCGTTTCAATTTTAAGTATTAAATTAAATTATTTATCATGAATCTCTGTCAATCCCTTTTATATAAGACAGTCTTTGACAGGCTATTATCAATTTTTGTCTAAATTAATTCATTCTTGAGAGAAAACCTGAAATATACATTCTAAATCTGAATCCCAAATCAAATCAGTTTCGAAAGGATAAACCTCCGAAATGCTGATCTTTCAAAAAAAAAACTCCGCTTAATATAACATATCCGTATAGAAATGTTCTTATAGCATTTCATTTCTGTCTATTATTGCTGTTATGAAAAACGGAGATAAAGTTTCTTTCATTATACACTATTTACTTTATACACGGATATATCCAGATAAAATAAAGAAGTAAAGAGAGAAACATTTACCACGCGATGAAAATTAAATTTTGACACTTTTACGAAATAACGTTCTTTTTATAACTTAATTACCTGTATGCTTCTCCGAGTCGCGCAGCATTATATCCTCCAACAGAGAAACTTCGCTACGGCCTTTGGCATTTACGGCGTAGGTCACCAGGTAAAAGTGAGTGGCTGGTAGAAGATCAGCCACGGCGATTCGGAAGATTGGCAGATCGGCCGACACGCTGGACGCGTTCACCCGGAGATTACCGGTCAGCACCTCATAAGCCTCTAGTCGGAATTCCTGGTGGAGTCCGCCGTCATATCCCGGCACGCATTCGACCTCCAGGATCTCCGAACTTTGATTGAGCGATGCTTTGATGGTGCAATTGTTCAGGGGATTCGGTTTAACTGTTCAGACACATTTCTCGCGTTGAGTTTTTAGAGTTTTAATCAAAAGGGATACCTTTACTTACGAGGGAACTACATTGCAAAAGTCATAAAAAAACTAACGTTACCAACCGAAAGATCACGTTTGAAGTATTCTAGATAGTCATCAAACATTGGGATTCTGTATCCGACTTAAGCCGTAACATATTTGGCTACTTTAATTTACAATTATTAAACACAAAATATCGAGAACGATACATAAAAAAAATGTTTTAAATAAAAGTTGTTGAGTTTAAAGAGACCAAAGTTGTAGGTTTAGAGAGATCATTAGATGAGCTACTGAGATTTTGGATTCATGATTCATTGACCCACTTGGGCCCAATAAGGTCCTGAATCCAAAATCTAAGTAACCCATCTGATGACTCTCTTCGAATCTTATAACTTCTCTCTTCGAATCTTATAATTTTTATTTGAAACCTTTTTTTAAAAAATGCATTGTTCTCGAGATATTTTGTATCTAAATTAAAATGGTCAAACATATTTCGGTCCAAGTCGGATATAGAATTCATAGGATCCCAAGATTTGACCAACTAGGATACCTATTTCAAATGTAATCTTTCGATTGGTAATGTTAGTTTTTTGATGTTTTTTTACAACATAGCACGTTCCTTTGTTAGAGATCTGACGAATTTATATTTTGATACGACTACTGAGAAAGTTAGAAAAATATAATACGAAGTTGCACGTAGAACATGTCAGAAAAGAAAAATATAATTAAAGGCGAATGTTTCTCATTTTTCCTCAACATCTGATTTTCTTTCTCAGATACAAAAGGGATACGGTTTAAGTAAACTATGATGGAACGTACACAGCTCTTGCAAAAATAAACGATAAAACAAATATTTTCGAGTTTATGACGTACGGTGCGATAAGCTGGCTGCGAGTCGGATAGGGTAGAAAAAAGGAAAGCGTAAATAGCCGCGTTGAATTCTAAATACGGACATCTAAATATTATGTGTTTTCGACGCGAGATGTAGCAGTACATACGATATTTAAATATTTTCAGAATCTCGGACGCATTTGTTTGCCTTTGAAAAAGCAGAAGCGACAGGATTTCTTCCAGATTATGATTCGCAATGAAAAAAGCAGAAGTGCAGTGGAATAAATTTCCACCGATTTCTATCTTTCTCTTTTTCACTTTTTCTTTTTATTTACTCCTTTTTTTCATAACGTTACGCGTCTAGGACATCACCTGCCGGAATGACTTGATAGATGCAGGGCGCCTCCTGCTTCCCTATCGCATTCCTACCCCAACAGGTCAGGGCACCGTAATCCCTCTCGGATTCGGGGGTGTAGACGAGCTCGCTCATGGTGCCGTTGTTGCCGTCAAACTTGGCCGGCGCGACTTCGAAGTTCTCGCCACTATTGTTGAACTCCCAGACAAAGTCCACCTCGTTCGGGTCGGCGTCGACCTCGCAGCGCACCTTCACGGACTCCTCCAGGGAAGCCCCGATTATCGTCACCTCCTTCATCTTGCAAACTGGCGCGACTGGAGAGTACGTAGAAGAAAAAGAACGGAAAACACAACACACACGCGTTCTTCAGTTGAACAAGATAAAAACGTGGAATTTCTCTCTTTTTTTTTTCTTTTTCTTTCTCGTCTCCGTTATTGATCGGCGGAACTTCGACAGCGGGATTATGCCGAGTTTAAGAGCCGTTTTATTCGCCTTTAATCGGGAGAATTATATTGTTCGCCGTAGGGCTTAGACGAGACGGTTGAAAATAAATTGGCTTCTAAAATGTAATCCCTCATATCTGACGTCCGAGATATTTCGCTCCCGAACACAATTACGCGCGGTTGGCATATTGTGTAACGCGTATTTTGGAGTTTACTGGAGGAAGTAGAAACAACATAGTTAAATTTAACTTTTAGCTCTGAAAAGGTCAGAGGTTAATTCTCCCATACAATAATATCTTTTTAATAATTAAACATGTGAATAATTTATTCTTATGTAACCTGTACTGTTATAATTTATGACATAAATAAATAAATACATATATTCATATTAATAATTATATTTACATAATTATTTATATCATAAACAACAAATGTGTAAAGATCTAAATTTATTTGCGAGAAATATATTAAGCGCCATAAATTATGGCGCAAATACTTTCATTCAGAATTGGAAAGTAACGTATTACTTTATAATGCCATTACTATTTTCGTTAATTTTTTTCGATAACCATCGTTACTTTTTTCTCTGTAATGATAACAGTGACGTCATTACATTTTTACAAGAACAATCACAAATTTAGCTGTATTTTTATCGTTATTTCAAACTTTTATTACCTTTATAACTATTCGATAGAATTCATTATTTTTATAATTATCTAGAAATATTTTTATAATAAAATGTAGATATCGAAAAATGTTTTATACTTTATATTTTAGGCTACATTCCAATAGTTTCTACCAATACTGAAAATCTGTAGTATATATGTATATGTAACGTGATCTATAAATTTTCAACATTGGTATATAGTGAATATTGGAGTGCATTTTTAATAATGACTTTTGATGTTTAAAAACAAAAATTTTTAATAAAAATTCATAATAAAATCTATGTTCAAAAATTACAATCTATATATAATTTCCTAAAGATAAGCATATATTAAAAATACCTATTAGTATAAAGAATTATTGAAAATTTATTAAAAGAAAAGCTTGCTATAAAGACTAGTTTAGAATTTTAATACACAATAAACCACATTTTGTCGTGTATTCACATTTACGGTCCTCTCTTTATTAAAAAAATTCTTTATTTAATTATATTAGAATTTCAGTTTTTATATTGATTTTTGATCAATTAATATTGATTATTAAACAGTGTAATTTTTCAATCTTTCAACGTCTTATTTGAACATTACGAAAAAGTAACGAAAAAAAGTAACGAATCATTATTTTTGAAGTAATAGTAACACATTACTTTTTAAAGTTAGGACCGAGTAACGGTACCGAGTTACTTTTTACAAAAAGTAACGATAATGGTAACGCGTTACTTTTATGAAGCAACATTTCCAATCCTGCTTTCATTCGCGGACGATTCGAAGATTTCCACTTGAAATTCGATTCATCCTCGAATCGCTGGCGTATATACTCACCGAGATTACACATTCGCTTTCTGAAATCCTTGTTATCGATTCGTACTTGTCGTATCTACTTACACTGCACTCTCAGGTTCACAATTGGACTCGTCGTCTCCCCACGGTCGTTGCTGGCGAGACACGTGTAATTTCCCGCGTTGTCGCGTCCTATGCCCTGCAGCACCAAGCTTTGGGTGCTCATGATGATACCGGCCGAATAGTTTTGCGTCAGCACGCCACCCTGTGTCATTGATGGATTAACGCGTTTAACACGGGGCTCGAGATTCCAGTACGATAGCTTTTTCCGCCATATTTCATCGGTAATAAGAAACGCAGATGACAAAGATGACAGATTTCATGTAAAGCTTTTCGCGCAAACTCCTTTTCGCCGTTCGCGAAGATTCCCTTTTAATGGATCTTCTTATTCTCGGTTTGGTATGTATATATTCGATGCTTTCGTATACGCTTTTTCCAAATTTCCCGTTTTACGGAGACGAAGGCGACGTTGGAGGCAAAGGTGGAAATTTTTCAAGAAAATGCGAAATTTATTTCCGTTTATGAATAGTCGTGTCACGAATATCCGTGCGATAAACGCGAGGCGACAGATATTCGCCGCTCTCGGAGAAGTGAATGCATATGCAGAGATGAAGAGACGAAAATTTCCGAGTCTACTTCCCTCATAAAGCAAAAGTTATTTTTTTCTTTCGTCAAACTGGCATTTTTCCGGAAATTTCAGATAACGCTTTAAAAGTTCCATCCTAAGGTATTGTGACTCGAATCGATCCTTATCGGAAAAAAGATCGTTATCGATTCTCGCGAATAGAAATGTAAAGTTCGGGAAGCCCGGTATTTTTCAGACCCCTGTGTGTGCTTTTCGCGCTTAATCGCCTTTTTTTTCTGGAACTCGGGAACTGTTTAGTGGAGAGGCGAAGCAATCGAAATTTTAAAAGTGAGACGCCAGTGCCTCGCAAAGGTAAACACACCGGGATTAAAGTGGGTTCGTTGCTGATGGTGGGACTTACGTTGTGGCGCCAAGTAATTTTGTGGTGCTCCGGATTGGCGCGGACTTTGCATTCGAAGTACACATCGTCGCCTTCTTTTATGTTTTCCGCATTCAAAGTGCTGCCCAGATGCAGCTGAACTTTAGGCGGGACTGCAGAAAAAGAGAGAAAGAGAGAGAAAATTTTTCGGTTTTTCAATGTTTCACGTGCGTGACCACGATGAAATATTTCGACGGATTCAGAGAAAATGGAACGTGGAACGTATTGAAGCCGTCGGAATACATGAAAGAGAGAGAGAGAGAAACGATATTAATAAGACATGCGACTCTTTGTGTACAATGGATTTAACAGATTTAACAGATTTCCATTTTCATGCACTTTAGGTTACGACAAACACAGCGAAACTTGTTGAGTTCCATTTACATATTCGTATTTGATTTTAAATCTCTAAAATCTGAATTATCGGCTGTTAATTAATGAGCAAATATCTACTACTACACTACAGTCAATAAATGTTAATTCATTGAGATATCTTCACATCCTGTGGTTTAAATAATTCCGATCTACAATAGCGAGATGTATTTTTCGTAGATAAACAATTCATGCACCGCAGACCTAGAAAAAGGATTGCTATTAAAAAGGATTATAAAATAAAAAAAAATACATAATTAATCAAGATATTTTTACGGGACATCTCGCGGTTTAATTTCCAATCTATCACGAGATGCACTCTTTACAGATAAACAATTCATGTACCGCAGTATTAGAAAAAATGGTGCTATAAAGATAAACGGCTTATAAAATATGATATAAAATATAAAAATATACAAAAATAATAAAAAATATATAAAGTATTAAAATATCACGTATTTGTATTTATAAATACAAAATTTTTTTTACAAACGTAAAGATGTCACTCGGCAAATTGATTTCACGGTAATCGAAATTCGATTTGTCGCGTGGTTAAAAGAGGCGCCGAAGAAACGGCGCCCGCCACTTACAGACGACATTCAACTTGAAGAAGTCCTCCAAATACGCGTCCGCCAGGGCTGGGTTCTCGCCGCGGCACTTGAGGATCTTGCCGTGATCGTCGGGGATGGGTGAGAACATCAGGGTGCTCAGCACTACCGACGCGTTGCCACTTTCTTTCACCTGCTGGCACATACGTTCGAAAATTGCAGGAAACTGGCGATAACTCAGGTGGAGGGGAACATGTCAAAAAATATCGACGTGCGCGACGTCGACGTTTCAAAATACTTCGTTATCGACCTTGCTGCTCCGGAATGTCTCGTTTCCCTCGATCCAGGTGATGCGAGCGCGGGGATGCGAGCCTGTCGTCTCGCAGGTGATGGAGTAGTCCTTCTCCGTCTCCATGACCGTTAGCTTTGACAGTATCTTCACGGTGAGTGGTTTTACTAGAACCAACCAGCAGATCGCGTTTATTGCGCCCTACCGCGAGTAATACTACTCATTTTTTTACACCTCTCTTTAAAAGCTTAAAATTCGATCCGCGATGTCAAGAAATCACTAAGGTCGGAAAGATTTATAATTAATACTTAGGATGCAAATCCTCTCCTGATGTCCTGTCCTTATAAGCTTTTGTGACGCTCACCGCTTTTTAAATTCATCGTGTGTCTCGCGTTAAGCCTACAGCACACAAAGCCTTTCTTTCTGCTGGATTGCTTGAAAGAACGATTTTGCTAGATTATGTGAAAATTTAAGTAGATACAGGTTTGAAAATAAATTTGGATTAAACTAATTTTGACATTCTCTAACAACCAGTTTGAACGACCTACATAATATTTTGATAATTTAACAAAATTATTTTCAGCTCTATATCTTGCTGAATTTTTAGTCACTTCAGCAAAATTGTTTTTTCCTTGCAGGCGCTGTTACAATATTAAATTACACTCAATTTAAATTATTTTTAATCACTTCTATAGGTCTCTATTGCTCTTACTCGATATGTCGTTAATTTAACTAAAACAGTGGAATTAAACAATTTAACTCAATAAAGTGTATTAAATTTGACTGAAACATAATTAATTGTTTACTACGTGCATATATGTTAATATGAACGTTGTTTACTTGAACCTAATCATAGAAATGTATTAATTTACATTTTGATACACATGGAAATGAAAAATAACAAAATGTTATTTAATTTAAGAAATTGGGTCACTTTTGTTCCTTTGATATCTAACAATGTGCTACTATACTAGCGATCAAGCTGGCTGTTATGAAAATTGTGTAACCTGCTGACTACGCTGTTTGCTGGTTTGCAGAATTTTCGCGATAGGTTAGATGGAATTTTTCTTGCATGGCCTTGTGCTGATTTATTGCGAGAGTCAATCAAGACGAAGCCTTAGTTATGTGATCAAAGTATTCTCTTTGTGATAATAAATTAAAAACAATGCAATTGTACTTTTATGATGATGTAAGTATTACAGTAGCAACGATCTTGTCTACTTATTCTGATACTTTCGTCAAATACTTTCTGTCAAATTTCAACTGCTCAGCCAACATGAAAACTCGTACTGAAGCTAAGCTAACAATGTAGTCAGCAGCACTGCCAGCACCGCTGCCAAGACGGCAGTAAACCAGTAAGCACGCAAATTTAGCTAGCAATTCAGCGAAAAAAAAGCTTCGTGTAGTACAGCAGATTTTACTATATTGTAAAAAAGTTCTGAATCGCCCTTCGGTTTTTACATATAAAAACAATTTTTACATACGCAAACAAATTTTACGCTCAATTCAAAAATAACAACAATTATTCTTCAAAATAGAAACCATCATGTTCAATAATCATCAGTTTGTTAGCTGTTGAATTCAATTTCAATGTCATTCGTCTAGACGGCATCCGAGATACTACACCTGTTATACGTCGCTAATCTTGCACCGTTTGATGCTATGGCCTGTTTCGCTCAATGAAACATTTCTTGCAAGGATGACGATTCGAAACTGTTGAACAAGTTGAGTCAGCTTGTCGTGACGCAGCTTCTTCGCTGGAGCTCTAAGGAGCCAAATGGTACCGAAACCAAATCCGGCAGCTGGTAGCGAATAGTTATTGAACACGATGGTCTTTATCTTGAGAAATAATCGTCATTGTTTCTACACTTGAATGTGAAAACCGTTTTTTGCGTATTAAAATCAAAGGATATTCAAAACCTTTTTAATATAATCTAGTAAATCGCAGGCGATGATTTTTTAATTAAAACGAGTACGTATAACATGTGCTTAATATTAATCTGATAGATATCGGTTTCGGAGAAGATTACAAACATCGCTTTTGATAAAAATAGTCAGTTAAAAGGATTTACAAATATGAACGGATTATTCCGCTCATTCGAGATTTGTTCAAGTTGAATAATTAAAGAAAGCTAAATTTATTTTCGCGATATGTGTGTGTGTGTGTGTGTGTGTATATGTCATGGTGGTTATCCATGCCAGGGTCAGTGCGCTCCTACAAACCTGCCAATAATTTATCGGGCCGATAACAGAAATGAGAAAGGATTACTTTCCGCGGTCGAAATTTAACTAATATGAATTATTAACATGTTGAATGCCGCGGGGCATTTTGATTAACTTTGCAAAAGCGTAATTAGAGGTTGTGCAACCGATATATTGCGGTAAATAAATGCCATATTTTTGTCAAATGCGCTCGTTACCCTGTTTAATTGAGGTCCCCGACGACACGTGCAACTTTCTAAATGCGCGGCCGACTGCGCTTTTGCACGCGTCAAAACGAAACGACACCAACATGTTAACCTTTGGACGACACTCAGCCTTTTGTAACTTTTCGCCGTTTGGTAGCTTTAAAACTCATTTGCTTTTATACGAAAAAATTATCACATGTGAAATTTAAATGAAGAGCAGTGTCAGTATATGCACATCAATTTTCCGTAAAAACATAAATGTATGCAAATTCCTACAAATATTTACACTACGCGCACTTGTCGGACGGGGGAAAATTGATTGTATCGCGCCGACGAGAAGAGAAAAAAGTTCCTCTACAGAAATGTTCTTCTAGGTGAGAAGAACTGGGTGAAAAGTACTCACGATAAACGTCGAGGATCACCGTCTTCTCCAACGGTGGTATGAGATGCGTGTTGGCCGCCTGGCATCTGTACGTGGTGTTGCGGTGTTCTCGCCGCAGCTGCGGCACCGTCAATTTGCTGACGACGATGTTCTGGCCGAACTCCTCGAGTCTGCCGTCCACCTCCTTGCCGTTCACCAGCCAGCTCACCACCGGCGTGGGTTTCCCTTCGTATGGGATAATCGCGCGCGGAAAGCACGGAAAGCACGGAAATTATACGCGGCTAATTAACTCTCCCTACCCCCTCGTCTCGTCGTCGATCAGTCTCGTGTGACAGCAGACAAATCACCGGGACCATAATTACCCTTAATACCGGGTGTCTCCGATCGGGCGCGCCCGCGTAATACCCGGCCACTTAGAGGCCGGGCTCGTATTTAATTGCTAACGCTAACCCGCGGTAGTATCTCCTCTCTTTTTATTTATTCACGCGATCTTGAGAGAGAAAGAGAGAGAGAGAGAGAGAGGGGTCAGGTCGGGATTTATACGTGCTTAAAGCGAGGGGAGTCGGTCGGGTAATTTGTCGCTCTCTCGCCGAGATTCGTATCTCGACTAAACATATTAATGAGAAACCTGATTTCTCTCAGGGAGGAATTAACGGATAAAATTTTACAAACTCGAGAACGCGTAATTATACATATACACACACATGCATAATGGTAAATTCATCGTAGCTTTTAAACTATGCGACGAGAAATTTGCTTTACCTCGAAATACCGTATTTCATATCTCCCGTCTCTGTCATTTAATTATGTTAATTGTGTGAGGAGAGATTATAAAGAAATTTCGATGCATGCGGACTGCGTGCTCCAAATTACAATTAATTGCACGATAACGCGTTGATTTACGGTCAGGTTTTCATAGCAGAATGTAAAATATGCATGAACGAAAACCGAGAACGTAATGTAAATAACCGCGAGCGGAAGTTCAAGACACAGGCCACAGATAGAATCGCCGCGACTCTTGTGTTTGCACGTGAATTTATCTAAGGGCAAATCACAAAGAGACGAATCGGAATACGGTGTGCTCACCTCCTCTCACTTCGCAGGACAGACCGAACTCCACGCCAACCTGAAACGGTCCAGCGACTTTCTCCACCTGCACCCCGGAGCTGTCGTAAATGAGTAGCTGGTGCGGTGGCACTGCGAACAATTTCCACGAACAGGGTGGTTCGTTTTCCATAATTGACGGATAATAGCCCGGACGGTCTATTACGACTTTTTAAAGAGAGCTCGCGAAAGTTAATTTTAAAGTTGCAAAAATGAAATTTCGATTAATTCGTCTCCCTTCCTTGCCCCCGCAAAGTTCGAAGAAAAGTGGGTTAGACCGTCGCAACGCGGGCCCCTCAATTAGCGAAACCGCGCGAGACGGAGATTGTTCCGGCAAGTTTAACTTTGCGCCGAGATGAAAAAAGATCCTGCATATCGGTCGACGTTAACTGCAGCTAATTCTCGCTCTCCTTCTTCTTCTGTTAGCACCCTTCCCTCAGCACGATCTTTGTTTTACGCGTTATACCGCGCGAGACGCAGTTAATCATACTGGAGCAGCGTTACGCGGTCGTTACGGTAATGAGTTTCCTCACCGATCACTGTGAGATTCACTTGGAAGTTCTTGGTCGGCGAGTTCCTGAAGTCCACCCGGCATCTGTAGATCCCCTCGTCATCCAACTGGACCGCCTCCAGAGAGAGCGCGGCCGGCTTCGTCACGGTGATGAAGTAGGCCCTGGGCCCTACGGCGGTGCTGTCCGACCAGTTCAGGGCCTTGTTAAAAGCCCGTCCCCGCACATCGAAACTGTGTACACGTTTTATTTTCTAAATAATTCGCGAGTAACCCTGAATCTTATTTCTTTTTTTTAAGGAGGTTCGATTGACATAATAACACATATATTAATATTTATACTTTAAACAAACTGTATATATAGAAAAGTTGCATTTATAACTTTATTGAACTCTATCTTCATTGAACAATGTATTTTTTTAGTGTATTTATTTTATACTTGTTATTTTTATTATTATAAACTAAAATTTCAAAAATAACAAAAATCTTAATCTAAATATTTTTTTACAAATATTTTAAATATTTAAAATGACTTACGCAAAAATTTCATAACGATTTTCTGATTAATTACAGAGATTTAGAACAAATAAATATTTTGTTTATTTATACTGGACAACTAATTTCTGCATTGCGATGTAACTTTACATAATCATTTTGATTATGTATTTTACTTAAAGTATTAATATGAAAAAATTAAGATTTTATCATTATCTTATATATAATACATTTTTATTAAAGCACAGACTTAAAAAAGTATTACTTCTTATTTAAGTAACTTTTGACCCGAATGGTAAACCGTTATTAAAAAAGATATGTGGTATTACTTTTAAATGAGATCTAAAATGAACTGCAATTTGTTTATTTTGAAATATCCGTATCGTACCTTTTTAATGCGTTTTCCGAGGATTTGTTTAGATCTTAAAGTTTTTCTCGGCGACAGAGGACTTGCTTACCTGTAAATGGGTTTCACCGCGTAATCGCGGAACCAAAGGACCATGTAAACGCGATCCTCTCGCGTGGACGGCTCAATGTCGCAAGGCAAAGTGGCGGTTCGCCCAAGTACGGCGCTAACCTTAGATGTGGACACTGGAGAAGTTGAAGAAAGGTGATTAACGCGTTTGGTATCGGAATCCAGTACATAGCGATACATAGCGTGTGTTTAGTTTATACATAACTCGACTAATTGAAATTTAACTAGATGAAGCCGCGAGCTGTCCATCAAACGCAATGTTTATTTGACCACGCATGCTTATTACCGGATTTATTTATTTGACGATTCGGACATATTGACCATGTAACGTTCCGAGATTAATTCTTTTTACCAAAACCAAATGCCAACTGTGCAGCATATTTAATGGTTGGTAAAAATATAGCCATATCATTTACGAAAATGATATTGTTTAGTAATTAATGAATAAATAACTTTCCTTCAAGCTGTAAATATTCTTTTTTTAATTCACAGTCGCTTTAATTGGTTGAAATGAAGATTCGAGGAATCACGAAATTTTTTCGACGTCTTTTTAAATGATTCCTTTGGAACTTTACTGTAAACAATGCGACTTTTCTTTTCTAGTTAAATCTCATTAACTTTAACGCTTTGAATAATTTTACTTACAATACTGCCTCTGTTTTCTCAGAAGCAAGAATCACAGGTCGTTTAATAATTGAGTTAATAATTCTGACGAATGATGCGGAGCTATAATATAATATTATGAATCTTAATATATATACTCGAAGGCATTATGTTTAACAATTCATGACATTTTGCAATTTGCTAATTATATGGTTAATAAGTTAAATGAGCTGTAACACCAGCTTTTATGTCACGAAAGAACGTGGAAAGTTATTAAGTTAGTAGGAAGTATTATAAGTAAACTTACAAGCCATTCAGGTAAACGAGATTTAGCAGCGAAAAACTTGAGATTAAATTTTTTCCTCTTATTGTTTAGCGTGATTTTAAATTACCTTGAAGTAACGCAGCTGTGAAGATCTCTGAACTCTAAGCGAGTAATATCGTTACGTTTCACGAAATAAAAAGTAGCATCAAGAATGTGTAGATATCCTTTTTTTAAGAGACATTTCCCTCCAATTTAACATTCCATTCTGACGCGAGAAAGAGTCCTGCGTCGCAACGTGTAAAAAGGAAACTGCTTTGCTTCTTACGAATAAAGAGACGAGAAAGCAGCTTGAAAAATATCACTAATGAAGTTCGTTTTCGCGCATAATGGAGAGTTTCCACCCCGGCAGCGCGAAATATAATTACGCCGCGTAACATTTCTTTGAGCAAGTTTCACGCTCTGAGTGATTTCCGGTATCGCAACAAGCTTGCGTCTGATTCCTCCGTTTTCCGATACGCCGCAATTTTCATCAATCGAACGACGTCTGTAACACGAATACGAACTCTTCCGGCAGGATATCGCTTTTACGTTTGTTTGTGACGCTCCGATGAAAAATGTACATGCCACGAGCCATTTATCTTTTTTAGCATCGTATCAGCGCGATTATTATCTGTTCCATCTATTTAAACGCATGTCATTTTCTACGCTGAAGGCATTTCAAAGACATAAATAAAAAGTGACATCAAGGTACAAATGTAACTGAAAAATGGCTGTGTGAATGAAAGTTTAAGATAAAATAACCATTCGCGTATTTACGAGAGGAAGAAAAAATTAGAAATATATCTATCTGGCAAATTTTCAAACAGCTGTAAGCAGGATGGATTATAAATTCAAAACTTGTAAAAGCTCCGCACTTTTGATCAAGGCATTAACCGTTATGCATTAAGGGGAACTTATTTATTATTTCATCATGTTTTAAAGGACTATATTCAGTCTCGCTTTTGCGTTTCGACCTAGTTTTATTTTAAAAAATGCCATAATTTTGTAAATATCGATTCTAACAGTTTTCAATTTCATGACTTTGTCAGTTTTCCACTTTTCAATATGCATTTATGAAATACGTATTGGGTTCCATTTTGCGCACAAAAGCCATATAGAGTTCCATTCTGCGCCGGACATGCTGAGTGTGCACGGCAAACGAAGCTACCAGCAGAATTAAGGGACCCATTGTGGCTCTGATCAAGAAACATTTTTTCTTCTTTGTTAATCTTCAGCAATATATTGCACAACGAAATAATAATCTACAGAAAAGCAGCGAATCGCTAAGCGTAGCTTCACTTAACCATTTCCTTCCCCGAGTATTTTCACAGAAAACCGACCGCAACGTCCTTTCTGTTTTTTATTATTCAATTTTCTCCTCTTCCCTCTCTTTTTTAATAACGATTAAAATAAAATACTTTTTTTTTGTGAAAACACATATCTACGCACTCATATACACTCTTTTTGTAAACTACTCTTTTTTAAATCACATTTTCACATTCTATTACAAAAAGAGGAAAAAAAAAATAACAAACGACCGTTTTATGCCCCAAAATCACGAGATAAATTTTCGACCATATATTCCTCCGTTAACTTGAATATCGATGTTTTTCTCAATGAGAGAATATTAAAGTACCGATAGTTTTCGAGTAATTAGCGGTTGAAGAACTCTCCTTTCGTTCTAAATTAAATTAAACATCTATCTCCACTTTCAAAAATGAAATTTTACTTATTAAATTAAACCTGCTCGAGTAATTGATAAATTTTATTTAATTATATATGAAGAGTAAACAAGTATATTTATTAGTTATAACTTTGAGAAGTAATTATTTTGATGAATTTTTGAAATTTGAGTGCAAGAAAAATGTAAAACGCTGAAAATTAAAAAATTACTTGTAGAAAATATATAGTGTAAAATTTATTTTTACCACTAAATAATATTGATTTAAACTTGCAAATTGCGAGGCCTCTTGTATCTTTATTGAGGAAAAAATGGAGAAAATTGGTCTCTCTAAGTCAGGATAACCGGCAATTTTGGGACACGGTCGAAAAGCGAGTATCGCTCGCGCGGGTGAGGGAAGTGGTTAATCTCGGGTGTTCGTGCGACCGTTTCGTGCTCGTGCCGCGCGTACCTAGGTCATCGTCCTTATCCCAGTTGCCGCTGGCGTTCACGTAGACTACCACGGCGAATATGTAGCCGCTAATGACGAGTCGCACCGCTATCTCGGCCAGCGTCCCGAGTGCCATCCCACGAAGAGGCTGCGACGCCTTCGCCGGGCACTTGGGCGGCAAGCTCAAATCCGTCGTCTCCGGCATAATACCACCCCGCGGGTACGGCGCCCCCTTATTGTCATTCCACACCGGGAAGGACCTGTCCCTGCTCCGGCTCCTTGTCCCAGCCGCGTATGCAGGACGACGAACACGCAGGACAACCTCGCTCACCGCCTCGAGCGTGGATCCTTCAAGTCCAAACGCCTATCGTCGAGGCGCATCGAAGTGCCTGGATGACAAAACTGCGCTTTCTTCACTGCTTCTCGTCTTTTAGTCCACGTCTCGTCGCACTGTATCACTGCTGAGAATCAGTGCAAAAGAATTGCCTTTCGTGCCCCTCTTCCTTTCCTTTGTTATTTTTCAAATGTTAAAGTATATTTTGCGCTTATTTTTGAATCGTTATATTAATTCATATCAAATTTTATGCAATAATAAATAAAAAAAAGATATTTTTAAACAATAAGATTCCTTTAGTCGGCAAGATTCTTTGTTAAATTTTTATCAATGAATAATATTTAAATCTGAAATTTTTGAAAATTTGCGTGCAGTTATTATTGATAAAATTAATGATAAAGAGTAAATAATATCTAGAAAGACAGATAAAAAGTCGTACGGACAAACCTTTTGTATCAGCTTAATGTTTCAGCAAAACGCTCTCGCACCTATTACTGTCACTATTTTTATTTCCCGATCGATCCGATTGTTAAAATATATCGTCGATTTTTTTATTGCGTTGCGATATCGAGTTCAACAGTGGCTACTCGGTTGTTTCACGTGGTTGCTTTCGATTACCCTCGTTTAATTTTATTGTCCTCGGACCTAAGGGTGTTAAATTGTACTCATTGCGGCTGCTACATTACCATTATTTTTCTCATGTACCCATCAAACTCTTGTTAAACTCCAAGTTCTCAATGGTAGCAGTTTTGTCACTCAGTCCTTCTTATACTTTATCGCCTTTTTCTGGCCGCACAAATTTTCCCGTTGTCGTCACTGTGATTTGTTAACGTTCGGTTATCGTTGTCGATTACATCCCGGCATTCGTCACTCGTCCAGGAAGATGCATGGAGGTCCAGATTACTCACCGTTCAAATTGACGCCTGTCGTTGGCTCAAATAAAGATGGACATTCGAAAACATCCGGCTGGCATCGGAATTCCCGTCGATATTTCTCGTCGACGTATGATCGATTATTATGAATTATTTTCGATACTGCGTTAATGCATCGCGTGCATTTTATTATTGTCGTTTCGCGAGTAGAGACGCACTTTGTCGAATATTTTCCGATCGTGTAACACACAATTTTACAGAGATACGCCGCAATGCAAAAGATCGCTTTAAACAAATGAGGTCTTTTCAGTTGTGCAGTTTGAGCTCAAGTTGGCCGGTTCGTCTGATCAAGCGCCAACCCTCTTCCACTGGCTGCACACGATTCTAATTTCGATCCACTCTACTTATCCCGTCTCCTCCCGAATTCATTCGCGTTATTGTCGCGTACCTTGCCCTCCCCGCACAACCCTGTGTCTGCAAAGTTCTTCGACGATCGGATGCAACGAAAAGGATTAGTCGAGCAACTTTCAGTTGGGGGACAATCGTTAATCACTTGATTAATCGTTGCACTCGTTACACTTCGACACGTTCTTATAGCGTTGAAATGTTCCGGACGACGTTCCACAGGTCGACACCGGATATATCTTCTTATTATCAGGAAGATATTACGTATTAATTCATTTTAACAAGAGAGCATTATGTATTAATTCGTTTGAACAATCTTGTCGACTTTAATGAAGAGGCGTGACATTTCAATGCATGGCGCTATTCGAGGCATCGCTTAAGTTCGAGTCGGTAGATTTATGTCTAAGTTACTCGGTTAGAGTTATATTTAGTCAGTTCTATTAACAGTCGGAACTTCTTAGCACTTGCAAAACAATCCGCCGTCTCGAGAGGACTAATTCCCTCTTTCTCTCACTTACTCATTCTCTCCCTCTCTCTCTCTCTCTCTCTCTCTCTCTCTCTCTCTCTCTCCTCTGTTCCGTCGATTAATCAAAGGGGAGTCTTATTGTCATTCCGTCCGAGATCAGACAGCCACTTCCTCCACTTCCACCCCACCGGCTGGAGAAGCGAAGGGGCGAAAGGCAAGCAAGGGAACAGGACGGGCTCGGCGGGGGATGCTTCGCGGTCTGATCGTCTCGCGAGCGTTCGAGAGGAGTGATTTCACCGCGACGGTATTCTCCAACGATTTTCCACCCCTAAAGGCCTCCCCACCCCTTCTCTTTCTCTTTCTCTTCCCCTCTCTCTCTCCCTCTCTCTCTCTCTTACCTCGAAGGTAGACGGCCTCCTCCCACCGCCAACCCCGCGGCGATGTCCTCCGGCGAGGATCCTCTCGAGAGGGGGAGAAGGCGTAGCGGGGGGAGGATGACACGCTCTCTCCGAATAGTTGAAGGATCTCGAGGACTCCTTCGGCAGCTTTCCTTAATGTTTCTTAATTACCCGCGTTCATTAATCACCGGGTCTTTTGATGTCTGTTGAATGCTTTCTTTCGCAGCGTGATTCGCGAGAGCCAAGCTCACCTAAAGCACCCAGAGACACGCTAAAGCACTCGAGCGGAAGGCTCGAGACTCGCACCTGAAATGGCGCAACGCGTCCTGACAAAGCACCGCCTTTCTCAGCGGAGATTATCGTCCTCCTGGAGCTACCTTTCTCCAGGGTTTAGGGCCGCCGTTAGGCGATTCGACAATGGCGATGACAGATCGGTCGACCCGCTGCACGAGGCGTGCACTTCGACACACGGACGATACTTCCGTTGTTATTCTACTGGTTCTCAATTTCCGCCGTGATCGATCATCTCCTGTATTATTTTGTGAATTTTTTTTTTCCAAGAAAAGATCGTCAAAAATATAAGAAGTATACCGTATTACGTCCCGTGAAAAAACGACGATATAAAACACATGTAAAAAACGGCAAAATACACGAAACCGACCGACGAGTTCGTGAAATTCCCTCTCGAATTAATCAACTTTATTTTTCAACAGCGGTGAACGTTCCGTTTTTCATTGACGCGAATTGTTCTACTTCTTGACAGCGGAAAAATTTTCGTGCAGTAGTTATGGATAGTCATACACAGCCGTTATACATGATCGTTCTCGTTTCTCTATTCTTTTTCTCGCTGACCTTCTCTTAAAGATTTAAAGAATAATTTAGAATCAATTTAATTCACCTTTTCAGCTTTTTTCCGTTTTTTGCCTTTTAACAGCCGCAATTGATAGCAACAATTTTTTTCCTAAGTAAATACGCACAACCGATCCCGTTCGCAAGTTTCTCCAAAAAAATTGCAGTTCGAATTTCCGTGCTCCTGGAGGGATTACCCTTTACTTAATAAATTAATCAATGGAAATACCGATTACACGAGCACCTTGGGTGAACCTTTCATCTCGCTTTACCAGCCGGCTACCGACGGCATGACGTTGAATCCCGACATCCCCATCGGCGGTTGTAGTTTCTCACGCTCTTCTCAAGGAGATCTCGCACTCACTCGCAACGAGGGAAAAATCTCGCTCATCCGATCTCGATAACGATCGCGGTCCGATCGCGGATCGGCGGCGATGACGGCGTTGGCGTGGTGGCAACGGCACCAGAGAGCGCTAAGCAGGTCGACGACACCGGCAAAATTTCCCACGAAATTTCTCGCCTTGAGCGCGAGGCGCGGCGGCTTCCAGCCGGTGTTGCAAGCAAGAGCGGTGTTTCTCGCTCCCACGATCTCCTTCGCACCCTCGTTCCCGACGACGAAACTCGTCTCTTCCGCGACGCGTGCTGTCGCGTGCGACGCGCTGCACGCTTCCTCGTCGCGCGGGCACGCCGCTATAACCGCCGCGAGAGAGGACGACGCGCGCGAGACGGGGCGCCGATCGATTTTCGCGAGTCAGTCCGATCCGGCCGCCTCGCGTTTCGACGCGTTTCGATGCCCGCGCGATGTACAACCCCCTACGCCGACGGTGGCGGTGGTAGTAGTGGTGGTGGAGGCGGCGGTGGAGAACGTGCCGAGCGCGCTGCCGCGCAGGGCTGTCCGAGCTTGGGGCGCGCCATGGGGCGCCATGTCCCGGAATCCGGAATCCGGAATCCGGAATCCGGAATCCGGAATTCACTCGCGATCTATGCAGAGTTCCCACCAATTTCTCATTTTTTCATTCCTAAACTTTTCCTTCGTTTCCACCCAAAGTTTCATGATTTTCTCTGATTTTCAACAAGGTCTTGACATTTTTTCTATTTTCGTCCCGAGTATCAATTATGTAACTTTTTTTTAGAATGAAAACGTGAAAAGTGAACATTTTTATGTATGTGTATGTACATATATACGTACAAACTTTTCACTTTTCATGTTTCCGCCCTAGGAAAAAAGTTACATTATTGACATCCCGATTTGGAACCCGTTAAACATTTTGTTGACAAAGAAATTTAACAGCAATGTAAATTGCTGTTAATGTTGCTGATACTGCTTGCGTTTATTTGTTAAGTTGGTGGTATTATTCCAAAACTGCGTAAATGTGATGTACGAATATAAAACTTCTTTAAAGTCAATAATTGTGATTTGTTAGAAAATTATGTAAAATTCCATGATTTTTCTCTGATTATTTTCAATTTTCCTGACATCTCTCTGACTTCTCTGATTTCTAGTTTATGACAATCTTGGTATAAATGCCGGTATGTTACACTTGCAAGATTCAATGCGAGCTTTTTTGACATAAATCGAGGGGAATTATCATAGCTCTTCCTTATTTTATTATTCAATGTCCGATTAGCTGTGACATCGAAAACATTAAGCTAAAAATGCAATGACCATTTAAACTATATTTTTTTTAAATTGATAGTTAAAAATTGATGACTGTTTTTCTACTTTGAGCGACAGCTTGCGAAGCGGTTGAAGCTGTAATCTAATCGTATTAAAAAGAAATGTGACACAATTAAGAACACATTGGATGCATGCCGCGCAGAATTTGGAAACGCGATGCGATCTTATGTTCTGATTTGTGATAGCAATTAGTCGCCTGACCGGCTTAAAAACTTTTCTCTCTGAATTCTCAGAACTTTCCACGTTAAAGAGAATCCAGAAACTTTTCTTCGAATGTGTGTTTCATGACATTACTTTACTATGTAATGTGTAATTAATACAATAATGTATTACTACCATAAATTATGAGAAAATGTGATATCCCACGCAGCACGAAATATTTCAGAAATATTTGCAAAATGTTTTATTGCAAAAAAAGGTTTGAAATATTTCAAAAATTTTTCGTAAAATCTTTCTAAAATGTAAATATATCCAGGAAAGAGTTTTTGAAAATATTCTTTTTCTTACAATATATTTGTACAACATTTCTAAAATATTTTTGTGAAATATTTTAAAATGTTTTACAAAAGCTTACAAAATTTTCCTAAAATATCTGATTGAAGAATGATTCGTATAAATATTTCATGTTGTGTGGGATTTAGGAATTTTGTTAAGGCTATATTTTATGTTAACTCATATCGCTCCTTTTTTTATAATTCTTGGCCTTGTTTCGTCGTATAAATACACATGAAAATGAATGGAAATTAAACAACATACCGATGAAGGTCTACCCTAAAGCTTTCATCTGCAGACACTTTCCTGACAACTGTCTGTATTTATTGCGACTGCGCAAGCGGTGCATTCACGCCGTCGCCAGGATCGGAGGAAAGTATTCATGAGAAAACAAATTGGAGGCACCGGGATCTAGGTGGTATACGGGGTGTTTCATAAAGTTTACATCAAACTTGAAGGGCGTGCTCTCGGCGAATTTGAGATCAACTTTTCTTTCGCGGAAAGTTGAGCGAGAGCGAAGTTACGATTCGATCTTGAGAATTTAAATCTAAATTGCATAAACTAATGGATAATAATGGCAATATCGTCGAAGTGTCAATTAAAAATAATTTTAAGGCAGTTCAATTATTAAGAGGGTTTAATTGAAAGTTCTAGGGTCAGTCGTCCTTTGAAAAAGGTTTTGGCTGAAGTAAGAAGTCAATTAGCAAATGTCTCGAAATTAATTAGAAATTAATTATTAAATGACTTTCTAAAGTTCAATGCGAAAGTTGGCAAGCTCCGTGTGCAAGATCTACCGCATGAGATGTGCAAAACGTTGTGGCCCGTCAACTTTGGCAAACTCGAAAATAGAATTCTTCTTCAAATAGACAGTTTCAAGAGTTGCATCGAGAGTCGAGGGAAATGAATGGTTATCGCGCGTTCCGTATTTACGTTCTCCGTTATCGATAGGACACACCCTATATTTAGTGGTTCACGCAAAATGACCAGACCATTTGTCTTATGTGGTATCCGCGCGGGGAACGAAGCGTCAACGGTGGGCCAAGATAATACAGTGGAGAGGAGAAGCTCCGACCGGAAAAAAAGAAAATAACGAGCGCGCATCATCTAATGTCCTGGAAGCCGGGGCTTTTTTTTTTGCCCTATCCAATTCAGCCCTGCGTAATAATAGTCTCGCCCTTACTGAGCGAAGTCACGATGGTTTAGGGGTGGGCGATAGACACAGGGGCGTATAATATGACACCTGCTCGCCTCACGAGCGAGCGAACAAACGCACGAGCAAACGGGGAAAATTTCTGCTCTCGTCCTACGGCAATTCGAGTTGCGAGTCACACGTAAACGTGACACCTGCCCGCACTATTACGGTTTTTCGCCAACGAGAGAATTTCCGTTTGCCGTTTGTGTTAAACTGCTACTTGCGGAACGATGTCATTCGCGAGAAAATTACAAGGTGACAAATTGGAACGATTTAATTGACATGAAAGCAAAATTCATGTCATTTTTGTTATAATATTATTCAATCTGTAAAGTAAATCTATTTATTCCCGACATCTCGACATTTTGACATTTCGACATCTCGACATCCCCGTTAAACAAGTCCTCGAGGAGTACGTATTGCAAAAATAAATATTCGAACATTAAGTTTAAAGCGAGAACGATTAAAGATAAATACTTGTCATTTCAAATCATT